TGTTTCTATAAAACTGTTATGGGACCTTACCCATAATAACATAATGGACTATTCCATACGTAATAAATACTGCGCCTCAATAAGAAGCAGAGTTCAGTCCGAAGTTGGGCGATCGGCTGATCGGCTGATCGGTTGAACTCTATGCCTTCGGGCGGGGAGGAACCTGAACGAGGCTACTCCGAAGGGCGGAGTCTCTTTCGGGGAGGTAAACCGACCCTGAACCCGTTTATACGGGTTCAAAGGGCATATTTTTGGCCGAGCCCACGGGCTCGGAGATCCCACGTTAAAACAGGCCTTGTGCCACATGACATCCTCGTGGGAGGGTGACTGAATAGCGTTCCGTCTGAAGTCGGGCGACCGGCTGATCGGTTGAACTCTCTCCCTTTTGACGGAGAGGAACCCGAACGAGGCTACGCCGAAGGGCGGAGTCTCTTTCGGGGAGGTAAACCGACCCTGAACCCGTTTATACGGGTTCAAAGGGCATATTTTTGTCCGAGACCACGGGCTCGGTGATCCCACGTTAAACCGGCCTTGTGCCACATGATGCCCTCGTTGGGGGTGGTGGTGACTAAATACCGTTCAGTCTGAAGTTTGGAGTGAGGTCCGTCAGAAGTCTGTCAGTCAGTCAGAGCGAGCGAGTCAGTCAGTCGAGTCAGAGGCAGTCCGAAACAGAGTCGCGTTCAGACAATTACTACTAAACCTGATTGTTCGTACTAACACTTTCTACTTCTCTGTATATATTCCTGTTTGTGATATATCTGTGTTATTCCATATCCGTGTTCGAGTTCTTCTTTATTGGTTCTACCTTGGACTATCACCCGTGGTACAAGGAAGCGGACCATAACAAAAAGAAATATTTTGTTTTTTTTTGTCCCACCGTAGTTGAGATCATCCAGGTAACTTTAGGAACAGTGAAAAAGAGACTGAATCCGAGACGCCAGAACAAGGCGAATAATATTGCTGATTTTTCTTTGGATCTTATCAAGGAGCTCTAGATGAATATCAAAACCAACGGATTATATGTAGCAACAATATTCTAAGCATGGACGAATGGTAGACTTATAGATATGTAAAGTAGATCTTGGAGGAGGAATTGTCTAGCGCGACACAGTGAATCAACTTTCTTAGCAGCTGAGCTAGCAATGGGTTCAATGTAGTGTTTCCATTTCATATCAGCTAAGAACGTTAACCTGAGGAGACACAATAAATCGCTCTCCTGGAGGTCAGCATGAGTCCTTTGTTAAAGTTCTTTATGATTGTATAGCACCCTTTTACAAGGTTGGAAGTAGTGTGGTCATCACAAAGCCCCATAGGCTTCACTCGCTCAAGGCCATTTGGGATTATCTAATAGATAACAATTCGTATTTAGCCAGGCTTCTTTGCTTCTTACTATATAAAAGATAATCTGCATTTATTTAGACCTGTTACGTAGCTAGATCATATCCAGTATTTATTTAACTATGACTCATCAGAATTAGCTAGCTACATACAATATTGACCCGTCTTTTCATAGCAACGTAGACAGATATCACTGTCCGTATTGCACTTGCTAACAATTACCTTCCACAGGCATTTATCAAATTAATAGGATCAATCATCATAGATTTGTACCTTACTAAGATAAGCTTTATCGGTTGTTTGTGTGTGCTTTATTTAAACTAACATTTACAAGGCCCAGTAGCTACTCAAGGTAGAAGGTGGCGTTGTATGAGTGTAAGAAAAGGCATGAAGTTCTGGGGGAGTGCTATGTAGGAAAGATGAGGGTTAACGCTAGACTTGAAGAGGTCAAGACTTGATTAGTGAATAAACTTTCAGAGATCAGTTGGAAACGTTAGGAGTATCGACTGGAAGTAGACTCTAGAAAGAACCAGAAACCCAGCCCTAAACAGGAAAGAAGGGATAAACCCCTACTCCTGTTCAAAAGGCTGGCGAGGAGTGTGAATCGGGCGATAGACGAACCTATCTACTCCGATTGGGAGAGAAGAAAAATAATAAAATAGTGAATAAGATTTCAGAGTTCATTCGCAGACGTTAGAAGTAGAGTGTGAGATCGACTTCAGAAGAAACGGGAACCAAACCCTAAGCAGGAAACAAGGGATTAACATTCTATTTCTATTCAAATGACAGGGGAGGAATGTGAACCGGTCAATAGGCAAACCTGCATCTCAGGGAATAGAATGTTCTCGAAAACCATTAGAACTGGAATCTACTTCTTCTATATATCGTATATTTTCAGGGTGTTGGCGGTCATGGTTCTCCACAATTTCCTTTCCTTTGTAGCTTGTATGTAATAAATATTGTCTTCGTTATCTCTCCTAAACCCTGTTTTGCCATCCATTTACGCCAGCTCGTTGTTTTCCCAAGTACCTCTTGCCTTCAGTATGTCTCGTGAGTGTTAAATATTCTAAGCCTTCTTTCATCATTATGTATCTTAGAAATTTCAACTGTAGTTTTCGGATTTTAAGTAAAAGTGGCGATTTTATTCTAAAACTTTGTCGTTTCTTCGTCATTCGATATTTCGTAACATTTCAGTGCACTTTTCCTTGTTTTTGTTGCTTCAAGTATCATCTTTATTTGTGAGAAGACTGTCCTGCATTCAGTGCCAAATCGAAAGACAGATATCACACAACAATTTATGTATCCTTTTCTTTATTTCTGTTGCTTCAAGTCTCTTCTTCATCTTTGAGGAGATTGTCCAGCATTCACTGTCAAATAGGAGGACAATTATCACATAACAGTTCAGTACTCTTTTCTTTGATTTTAACGAGAATTTAGTAAATATTAGTTTTTTCGCCGCGCTGCCTAAATACACTTTGTTTATCAAACGATCTTCTTTTTACGCTCTGTTCTTTC